TGAGGGAAATATTTGGTTTGCATTGTAAAATTATTTTTTCTGACTTCTGAGAATGGACGGCGTATGTTCTTAAAACTGATCTAAAACAATCATGATGCCCCTACGCGAATTTTCAGATTCCAAGAACGTTCCGAAGAGAGGACGGCAAACAGTAATGTCTAAACTTCTGATAATATGACTCTGCTTGCAGCCATGTACGCATAAAACTCAAGAAACTTAATAAACCACAAATAAGATAGGGTATAAAAAGCTAACAAACGCATAAATGGTATGAATAACCGAGTAGATAAAAATCGGGACTGCCAAGAATAGCTGCATAATGCACATAATGAGTATTCAGTGGATTGGTACTACACAGTAGGTGCCACTAAGTTACATCGCTAGGTTGCAGCTGTAGGGAAGATATAGACTAAGATATGCTACGCATTAAAAATGTGATGCCTGTGTGTCCACATGCATGACTCTGTGGCTGCTGCTTAATGTTGGGACGTGACAAAATGTAGGTGCGTCAGCCGGTTTATTTTTATTGAAATCGTGGTAAAATAATTAACGTAACCTGAACACTAGCAACGCACTACATCAATAGCTAAAATGTAAATGAATAAAAGAAAAGGAGAGAAAGATAAAATTCAATTGTACCGTCATCGAATTTGTCATTTACAGCACAAGTTGACAGGAATTTTGGCATTTCTATAGAGCTATTGTTATTAGCTTTGCCTCAATGTCTGGTATCTGGTATCTGCTCGTATCTCCGCACAATTTTGTATTACATCACCGCCGGCAAGAGAAGGGAACCAACACTGATAAGAGTCTAATATCTGTGTCATTATAGTTTTCTTATTATGTACGTTCGCGCATGCCTTTGTTTGTAGGTATGTTCGCATGACTGTGTAATTGTTTGTTTACACATTTGTTTACGGATGTTTTCTAGTTTCCAAGAAGCTCAGAGTTAATAACTTTATCATGTTAGATTTTTTTTCTTTTTTTTTTTTTGTAGCATATTTGTTTCTCTCTGTGTGTGTGTGTGTGTGTGTGTGTGTATGTTCGTGTTCATTTCTCTTCGTAAGGATCGTGACTTTTAGTTCCGCAGAATTTAGGCAAAAGCTATCAACAGAAAAAAACAGAAAAAAAGGAAAAGAAAAAGAAAAAGCTTTTCTGTCACATTTTCCCACAATTTATTAAAGTCCTCTCTTTTTTTTGTTTGCCGAGTCTTAAGTCATTTGTCATTGATTTGAAATGATTATGATGAATGTCTTCGAGTTGCGTTAATATTGTTGGAGAATGTGTCTCTTTTTACCTTTATTTTGAAAGATTAGATCTGCGCACGTACACAGTGCACACATATGTAAATGCTGATAAATGAGTGAAGATAATTTGATTAATTTCGTTTACCCTCTCTATTCACATGTATCTTTTCCGAATTCGCTTCAAAAGAAAACAAAAGAAAATAATAGTTTTATAAAATCCACAAGCCTTGAATACACCTTAAATATAAAATTATTTATATACAGACATCGACATGCATATATACATATATGTAGCACAATTTCAAATCGAAATTTTAGTAAAAAATCTTGTAATCATTTAATAAAATAACCTAACGTACATCGTAAACGTAAAATTATGCAGCCACGGGCGCTTGAATAGCTTCATTTTAAGTCAATATTTGAATTCAAAGAGAATTTTTTTTTTTTTTTAATCAAAAGATTTCTTTCTTCGTTGACAACTGTAAAGAAAATAATCCCATATCGTTATCTTTCCATTTTTTTCTTCGCTCTGTCGGGCTATGTGATACTCCAGTCTTTGTCTTCGAGTCTTATTTGAGCTTTGAACTTGAATTTGTGTTTAGATGTTGTTTGGATATAAAAATAAAATTAAACCATAAATAAGATAGCTTTTAATTATTCCCATCATTAAGGGTCACATAGTGGTTTGATCCGTGATATGACTAGAGTTAAAATAGTAAAATAATGTATATAGAATGGAATTTTCGAATAGATTTTCATGTATCCAGTTTCGGTTGTTTTGTTTAATGATTTATTATGTTTACTAATTTGTATGAAGGACAAAAAGCCAGCTGAAGCCAGCTGAGTTAATTATTTTATTAGGAAGTGAATACTACTTCAATTAGCACTAAAGGGAACGCAGAAAACATTCCTACTTCCATTTAGAAAGCCACTGCCTTTTAAAAGTTTCCCAGAAAGAGACATCGAAAGGAATTAATAAAGAATTTGTCTTAGACGAGCCAAGTAGTTTTGTAAAAAAGCGCCTCAGTGAAAATGCCATTTTAAAGGTATGAGCAGCGAAAAACGTTTCTTTCCGAAATTTTATTTGAAATTCCTTGATGTCTTCTTGAAGCCTGTTCATGTGTGTAATAACTACGTAGCCCGTCTTTACTCCAACGATCTAATTTTCACTTTAACAAAATCAATTCTATCAATTTTTAAAGGGATTAAGATCGCGCCTTTATATTGGGAATTTCAAAATCATATACCAGTGCGAGTAAACAATAAGGAGAATTTATTTGTAATATGAAAATTATTTATTTATATATCACCTTGATAACAGTCAGTCAATTAACATTCATTTTGAATGAGTTGGCCTAGAGGAAGTAATTCGGAATGCACAACATCGCAATCATTGAAGAAAACTGTTAACGTGACCTAAAGTTTTGCGGTACTTTCCCATAGTTTTTATGGTTTTTTAAAAGATTCGCTCGATAGATCCGGGTCGGATATGCAGATGTAAGTCTACTTCAAGTCTACCTAATGATACTTTTCATGCGAATGAAAATTCATTCTTCCACAGACGGAGAAGAATTCGAAAAATTCATTTTCGTACGCTCGCAAAAATCCATATAACGCTGTAGCAATTGAATATGTGGATCCGAAAATCGACATAGATGTCACAGACTATCAACTCACAAAGAACACGATTCCATTATTTCGTACCGCCTATGAGGTTTAAATGAAAAGTTCAGCTTCTTTTTTTTTTTAGGGTACACAAAAAGCTTAATTTTAGTGTATATTACTTTTTAAAATGTTTATATATTGCACAATCAATATCCATTACGTTTCCTTCCTTTCGCTCTTCGCCGAGTAACGCTAGTCGCTGTACGCACGGCATAAGTAAAAGTATGAATTATCAATTGATGACGTACTCTATATCCTTAAGCTTTTAAAGATCATTCCTTTTTAGTTTCGATCGATGTAAAGGATGGGCAATCTTTGTATTAGCATAAAATACTAAGTACATGTTTTTATAGAAAACATCAACTATTTTAGCAAAATTGAGGATTTTTCAAAATCAAAAATAGTAGAATTATGTTAATGAGAAGACATATTGACAAGATGACAATTGGAGCAAAATAGTACCGTTCAATTGATTTTGCTTACAGGAGGCCTCGGTATATCTTTAACAATTAAACTTATCGCGCAACAATTTCATATTTAGGGAAATCATCCCATGATCCACACAATATCTGCCTTAAATGGTCAGGTGATGAAAGCACGACTGATATGTCGGCTCTTAGCAATTTGAGAGTTCTAACCTCCTGAGCATTTTTATACATGTAATCAGAATTCCCATAACTCTCGCCAAATTTACATTTTTACATCAATAAAATTGGTAGACCTGCTGACAGATGAGATCATTTCCGTTTTTAGCCATCAAAGAAGTGCTCATTAATATTGCTTTCCGCGTAGGCAGCAGAACAAAAAAAAGTATTTATTTTTCTTGCTAGCAGTTTCAGTTAATAAATAATGAGATACCTATTACAAATTCAAGGCTGTTTCAAACCAATTGAAAATATGTTTGAACCCGAAATGTCAAAATTCGAAATAACTAATGACAATTTAGGAAGAAGAAGACCATAATGAAATTGAAGGAGTTTTGGTATTGTCACAGTGCAATAACGAATAAATTAGAAGACTTTCTTTGATTATCAGTGAGTGCTGTTTGCACCGGACTTTGGAAGTAATCCAAGAAAAAAGAAAAAAAAAATAAGAGCTATCTCTGCATAAGACTATGCACATAAGCGTCGCAAGATTCGAACCCCTGTCTGAATAGACAACAATTAGCACAATGATCATCTTTTGTTGACTTCTTAAACTAGAGAAGAAATGGAAAATAATTATTTATGGATTGCAACGAGCGTTAATTAAAAGCAATAATGTCTGGCGAATATAAATAAGAAAGGCTAGTAAGCTCCCCTTCTGTGCTGCTAACGCTTTTTCAGCCATATGAGGCATCAATGACACAATATCACAATACCATGACTTGTAGCAAATTGTTCCCAAATTCCGCTTAGTTGTCATATCCGTGTATAGGTCGGCTCACCGCCTAAATAGTTGGTTCATACGTACATATGGGGCTCTGCATGTATTTGGTGATGATGCCTATTATCGATTACTCGTCACCTCTCACCACCTCTATATACTTCGCATTAGCTGCGCGTAAAAAACGAACTAAACAAAACTTTAAAAAATATTCTCAATCACAGATAACAATGAAGCAATGAAGTTTCATGAAAGCCTTCTTAAAAAAAGAAAAAATAGAGAAGCAAATCAACATTATCCTTAAACATCCTTAAGTGTGGTGTTTAAAAGGTGCGCGTCTCATCGATAACATTCGTAATAGCGATTTCGCAATCTTTCGCTTTTAAAAAGTGTAGTAAAGTTTTTAATCAACGATTTGGATACAAAAAGATAGTAAAGATATCATCATTAAATCGGCCTTTGCTAGTCTAATGAAACAAAAACGAGATTAAAATTTTATAAAAATAATTTTTATTATGAAAATTTTATATAATAACCACCGCACCAAGAGAAACGGTTTAGTGAGTGCTTTGCAAGCATTGGCAAGAAAAATATTTATAACTATATATCTGTATATATATATATGTATATGTATATATATATATATATGTTGTACTTAAAAACAATAAACTTATGCAAAAAAAAATAAAAAATAAAGAAAATAGAAAACTAAGAGAATGAGGGAAAGACAGATATCTAAATATATTTTTATTACCTACAAATAACATTAAAAGTCTTTAAAACTAAATGTGATTTAATGGAAGACAAGTAGACAGATGTATATATATGTAAATGAAAATGAGTTCTATTTAATGGTGGCGGCGATTATGTTTTTTGCTTTGAGTTGAGTCGTCAAAAATGTTGAGAAAAGGAGAGAATTTACACGATTTGATATTGAATATTAGAAGCTTTTAACATGATACAAGCGTAAAGGAGATAGAAGATGAAAGAGAGAGGGTGAAAAAGATAAAGAAAAGCATGATGAAGAAAACGTGCGTACGTGTTCTATGATTTAGTCATTAACAGCAATTAAGTCCAAGGTAGAGCTTTTCGTTCCGCCGCCTGATGAGGGACACGTTGTCGTAAGTAATACCGTTGTTGATTCAGTCAGTGACACTTTGGCTTGCGTAAGGCCAGTGTTCGAGCTACCGAGCAGATCAGTAACAGATGACGTAAGCGATACCAAGGAATCGCCAATTGTTGTTCCGGAGCTTGGGTTTAAATTGTGAGTCAAACTATGCCGACGTAAATCGCAATTACGCCGAAACACTTTACCGCAGGCCGTACAATTATAGGGTTTTATGTCGGTATGTGTTAGGAGGTGGGTTTTCAGATTCGATCTCTGATTAAAGGAACGATTGCAAACGGGACACTTGTGCGGGGATTCCTCCATATGAAGTATCTTGTGCACAGCTAAAGTCCGCGATTGGCAAAATCCTTTACCGCATTCGGCACATTTGAAAGGTTTCTCCTTTGAGTGAATATATCTAGTTATGAAAGGTAAAGCAAACAACAAGATAGAAGGAAATTAAAATATGAAAGCCGTTGGAAGCGAAAACAGTTTGAATGATTGTCATCTGTTATTAAACCTACCTATGATCCCTCAAATGATCTTGACGGCGAAATGCTTTGCCACAAATATCACATGAATATGGACGCTCGTCGGTATGGGTGCGTTCATGTATCAACAAATTGTAGGATTTCGTGAACTGACGATTACAAAATTTACAAATGAATTGTTTCTTCGAACGTTGAGCATTTGCTAGCGCCACCGCCGGTTGGTTGTTAGCGTTCGGGCAAATAGATGCTTCGGTTATATTATTATTGGTGGAGCTGGAGACGCCGGAACATTCGGTTGAAGCTAAAGAATTCAGTTTATCCTGAAACATGGTGGCTTGCAAAGCGGACATTTGTTCCAAGTCCTGTTGGCTTGAATTAGATTGTTGTGTTTGTTGTTGTTGTTGTTGTTGTTGTTGTTGTTGCTGCTGCTGCTGCTGCTGCTGCTGATTGGTGCTTTGTTGCGAGATGTTGCTCATTAGTGTCGTATTAAAGAGAAAATTTGTTTCCAGTTCAGAGGTTTCAAAATTCAATGACTCATCATTCGTTGAGAGTAAAGTTATGTCACAATCTGTGAGATCAGTAGAGGAATGCAAAGAAGACAATAGATTTTGTGCAGAAGGCAACTTTACTAGTTTCTCGTCGTAGTCCAGATCGTCTCGAGTACATAGCTTAATTTTTGTTTTCGAAACTGATGTGTCCTTGAGAGAGCAATTTGAATTCGATACCGTAGTAATGGAGGAATTGCTGGTAATCGAATTGCTGATGTTATTGGAGCCATTCCCAACCGTGCTGAAGCGAAAGACATCGGGTTTACCAGTGATGCGCTGCAATGCCAAATATGATTCCAATGCTTGTAAGTTCAAAGCCGTCGCAGCTGGCGAATTGACGGGAAGTAACGCCGCCTGCTGTAGACTGCTTACCATTGTACCTTGCAGTGATAACACCACGGCTGCAGCAGCTGCCAAATCATTGGTTGTCGTAGTGGTGCTAGAAGTGTTGCAATTTTTAATGACTGTTTTACCGGAAGTAGTAACATCTTTTATCGTTGTGGTAGTGCTGTGATTGGACGATGATGATGATTGTACGGCTGCAGCATTTACTATCACTTCCAATAAAGCTGGATTACTTATAATCTCACTAACGGTTTGCTGTGTGGAATGCTGGCTAACATCGTCGGACAAAATGTTACTATTAATATAAGTTGGGCTATCACCGGTGTTAACCTTTCTATTGTTAGATGTAACCGTTGGAGTGGGTGCGTTTGAAACATAGTCTGGCATGGTATTATTAACTGAGCTTAAACCTAAGGAATCCATAATGAAATGAGAACTCAGCAGGATATCAAATGTGCTGTTTGTGTCTCGGCGTCTCGTTGTGGTTTCAGATTGATTATAATTTCTTATAACATGCGCTTCGACTCACCTACGCAAAAGCCACAAACCAATACAATTGAACACAAATTGATGCCAACTCAATGACTGGCTAAAGAGGCTGTTTACTGGAGCTGTTGCTGTTGCTGTCGCCGCTGCTGCCGTTGAGGATGCTTGTCTTATTGCGAGAAGGCGATGGTGATGGTGATGATGATGGTGATGATGATGACGATGATGATGATAATGATGGTACGAAGGAAGTATATGTATATTAAAAAAACCACACGCCACCATAAATCACAAGTTAGTCACGCTTTCAAAAGCTCATAAAGATCGCATTTGACGTTTTGTAACAACGAGACAAATAATTGGCGTCTGCACGAAGGCAGACGGACAGATAAATGTCTGTAAGTTAACCACAAATCTCAGTTAACAAGACAATAACAACCAAATTGTTAAAAAAAAAAAAAAAAAATGCTGCTCAACACAATGCAACATACAACTAACTTTTCCCATGTGAGACGTTACACATCCACTCAAATCTACGTTTAGTTGTTTTTTTTTTTTATATTTGTTTTCTGATTTCTTAATAACTCTATGTGTTCAAATTTAATTGATAATAAGGGTTGTTTGCATAATTAACCCTTTCCGTTTTCCATTAGGCTGATTAGGATTGACCGAACGCGTCTCGCACATGTGTGTGCACTACGAGTAATGGCGAATTCTTTGACCGTAACGAGTAGACGAGTAGCGTTAAACGCGCCAATGTTTAGAAGTCCACGAGCTAACTAAATGTCCATTGCTTTGCGTATTTTACGCGGACCACAAGAGCACATACAACAAAGAGAAAATTTTAACCACCAACACATGCTAAAGACGCTCGTAACGTAACACAAGCATAACCTTACTATGCAATGAAAAAGAGAATTCTAGCTGCTCTCTCTTTCAAAGATCACTTAATACGAACAATGCACGGAGTTGCTTACAAGAGTTTACTCTCAATACATCAAGTTTGTGTAGACAGGTGAGTTTGCCAGCTGCTTTATAATTGGGTTTACTCTCTCCGTAAATTCACGGCACTCATAACTAGTTTTTTGGGGAGAGAATTCTCCGTAACAATCCCAGAAACTGGTTCTTTATATATGATCAATGCAATAACAAAAAGAACAGAAACAATAATAGCTCAGAAGAAGGAAATCTTGTGTTGGCCTTCTTATATTTTTATTTTTATTTTTTCTTTTTACCCTTTCCTTTATTGTTATGATACTTTGCTGCAGAGTGTGGGTGTCGTGGCTCTAACTCTCTGATAGCTTTAATGTTGTTTTATTTTATTATTTTGTTGGCCTTTGACGTGTAGCAAGAAACAAATCGAAAAAAATTAAACGTTTTCTTGACGATGCTTTTAGCAACACACCCTGTCTTGTGTGTTATGACTTCTCTCTCTCTCTCTCTCTTTCTCTCTCTATTTGTCGTTTCCCATTTGCCTTCGCAATCTGCAATTCTTACTTTATAACCATTGCCATAATTGTCGCCAATTCATACCAAAATTTAGTCAAATTATATTTAGGAAATTTTGTTTAATAGTTGTTGTGTCTGAACTTGGACCTCTTAAGATAATTATGTTTTACTACCATCTTTTACTTTTTCAAAACTACGCTTGTATACTGAATGGATATCGTCAGCTCGATCGGTAGGAAAATGTTAAATAAACGCTCTCGCTCTCAATGAAGCTGCTGCGCACAATTTATTTTCACATCAAATTGTAATTTTTGTACGTCAGGCATATATACATAAGCAGATAAACATATATATACGTACACATATTTGAACAATTTTAAACCACTTATACAGAAATTATTTTGATTAATGCCACGAAAACATGTCATTCGCTCGTTTCGCCTGATCAAGCTCATTAGTAGGTAAGTGAAATATATAGACAGACATACCTGAATCGTCTCTTTTTTATATGTATAAATATAAATATAGAAATATAATGGTGATCATCGTCATCATCATTACCATCATCATCATTATCATCAACATCGTCATCGTCATTCCATGTGATCCATAAAATCATTCATGCATCCATTTATCTTCAATTTTCCCCACATAAATGCCAAACATCAGTCGATTGAGTCTACAACTGTTTTTGTATCTGTCTGTCTGTCTGTCTGTCTGTCTGTCTCTTTATCTTCCTGCCTCTTCCACTATGCTGCGTTTTTATTCTTACTCTAACCACTAAAGCTTAACTCAACTTAAAAGACCAACCAAGACGGACTAAATGTCTGACTGACTGACTGACTGACTGACTGACTGTCTGAGCGTTTGATTAACTGACCATAGTCATCGTTTGCGTATAAGTTTTGCTTGGATCATCAATGCATTTTGACCGTTGGAAAACATCTCAACACTCTTACGTATGTAAGTTTCATTCGTTTATATCCATATTCATATATCTGATAAGTTGTATCTCTTATTGTATGCGTATCATAGTATTAAGTTGGTTAGCTTCATTTTTCCTGTCCGTCGATGGCTAAGCTTAAATTTAGTATTTTATTAAGTTGCTAACAAACAATACACATGCGCACACATATACACGCATACACATCCAATTCAATATAGTATACTCACAATATGATAATAACAAAAAAATATAAAAAGCATATTCACCAGACATACACATATATATATATACATATTGGCACTCGTACGTATATCATACGTACACTGTGCAGCTTGACCGGCTTTAAGCTGTCTCTGCGGTTCTTATTCTTTAGAATGCCAGCATTACCACTACTAGTGCAATCATTGAAATTGACATTAAAAGTGTCTGCGGAATTACATTCGCATATGACCAATAACATATGAAAAAATACACACGTACGCACGCACTTATGGCTCATATATCGTATTTCTTTTAGGTAATTGCAACATATCTTAGCTGCCGATAGTTAAAACTTATTTTAAAGTTTCTCACATTTCACACACCAGTGACTTATTCGCCAGCTTTCGCAAACGTGCAACTTCACTGTTTTGTTTCTTGTTCTCACCGATACGATCCTTTTCATTACACACATTTACATGTTTACGTATCTGTTTTGTTTATAAGCTTTAAAATATAAAATCTGGTGTATTGCATATTATATCCTTGGGCGTCGTTCGAATGTTACCCGGCACTGCTGCTCAAGCGGCGATTGCTGGCCATGTGCTTTCCTCGCCAAAACGATAAATATAATATTTTTCTCTGTCGTCTTTTCTTCCCGTACCCTCTAATCTGCATACGTTTTCCGTGTGCGAATTTTCTTGGCTAAGAAACAGCTGAGCAATTGATATTAAAACCTATGCTAAGCTTATACTATATCTGCGTTTCTTGTTTTCTTTTGTTCTTCTCTTTTCAATATTTATTTAACTTGTCTTGCTGTTCCTCCCGGAAATATTAACTCTTTTAAACAAAAAGTTATAACTTACTTTAACTTATTGTGTTTCTTGTTTAATACTGAATAATACGCTTTGATCATCTTTGCTTTTTTCAAAGATTTTATAGGCAGCACCGCGTTTATGGTTTTAGAGTTAGGTGAGTATCGCATTTTCATTTCGATTGCGTCTTTTGATATGTTTTCCAATTTCTTTTGACATTTCAGGTTGTCAGAGCAGACCAATTCATCATGAAACGTTGCGCACGCGTTGCAAAGTTAACAACAATACTAAAATACTTAATTAGGTAAAATTATAGATATCCAAACGGCGAACTAATAGATCTAACACTTAAACCGGTTCGGAAGGGACAAAGCAGCCTTAGTAACTACTAATTAAGGATAAGTTTAGAATGACGCGCAAGAGCATAAAGGAATAAACCCCAAGCAACCTAAACCACAAAATCTCTTTCCCGAATGGGTATTTACAATATTTAACAACCTAACAACCTGGGCAGGGCCACAAGTAAAATCGAACCGTGCAAACGAATGATCCGCTCAAAATCCCGCCAGCGTGTCCGGCACAGTAAGTTTCGTGTAAGAACGAATTGGACACCGATTAGTTTGCTCAACTCCTTAAAGCTAGGAGAGTAATAAACCAGTCCGCATAGAGAGGCCAACCCCCTGAAGCTTTCTCGAGCTGCGTAAGATTACGGATTTGTTTTGAAAGAACATGTAAGTATGTTGCGCAGTCACATTTTTTTGAGCAATAATTGCTTTTGCAGTTAAAGATTTACTTATCCTTCGTTTAGCTTACCACCACATGGGTAAGCTGCTTATTAGAAAATTCTTTGCAAAAATTACTTGCAGGAAAAAAGATGATTTTCATTAGTACGTGGTACTGTACACACAACTTAATGCACTTATGATACAAGTTGCTGTGGATTATAACAATTTTCAAAGGAATGAAAATCGTTTGGACGTGGGAATGACACGAAAAATATGAACTCAATTTTTGAATCACTTATTCTTCAATTCTTACGATTTTTCATAGTGTTCGTATCATATTAATCAGCAAACTCGTTAAAAGCTTATTAAAGCATATAATTCTTTGCGAATAACACAAGAACTGTTTCTAGCGAATGATTTCTTGTGGGTTTCAATAAATCAATAACTTTGTACATAGTTTTTGAATTTAGCATATTTTAGATACTTTTTAAAATAAAACAAGTAAAAAACTATAGTTGGCCACGGCCGACCATTGATTGCCCAACATCGTTTCGCTTAATCTAGTTATTGTCTACGTCTTTTATTTCTTTCACTTAAAAGGCTTTACAAAATAAGGCATTGTAACGGAAGTGGTTGAAAAAGTGCACCTATCGGAACCATGGTCGATAGCGTTCGGTCTTGGGCTAAAACACATCGATGTAACAAATTTCATCAGGATGTCTGACAAACAGTACCTATGGGCTTGACACAAAAATAAATGGGCAACCATTAGGCGGACAGAAAGACAGACAAGGTTAGATCGATTGGCATAATAAAAGATCAGTCTATCTCGGGTCCTTCTAGGTGTTGCATATATCCCAACAGTGTTAATATACCCTTGTACAACATCATCTGGCGCAGGGTATAAAAAAAATGTTTTTTCAATCTTCGCGTTTTGTTTATATCTAAGTACGTGCTATTTATGTGCCTACAGTTGTGCATATGTGATGACGAGCCCATAAAAAATACTGAAAAGTACAACTCGTTAGATAAAATGCTTGTCACAAAGTCTTTAATCACAAAAAGATCATATTACCGAAAACTATGATTTTTGGAAATAAAAAAATATGAGAAACAAAATTGCTACAAAAATGTGTGCTGCTGAGGACAGCAACAGGTAATCAAAGATTATGAAGGAATTAGGAAAAGACGACCTGTCTTATTAAATAAACGCAAAAGAAATCTTTTATAAAACCTAACTCTAATCTGCAACTGCTGACAAAGCCTACCATAGACGATTTTTTTTTTTATGAGGAAATGCTTCGCTAAGCAAATGAGTTACATCGTAAACCAATGAAGGAATAAAGAACGGAAAGGGAACTTTAGAAAAACTTTCCAAAAGAATTCCAATTTTACTAATGAAGTCATCATTTTCTATACAAACGCGTGCATAATCGCGGTAATAAGAAGACAACACCGCCGTCGATTAACATAGCACAAATGACAAATATTAGATGAGTGAACATAAAATCAAAAACAAAAACTAACAAAGAAAAGCAACAATGAATTCCACGAACGTTTTTCATGCACGCACACTCATCAAATCAACCTTTAATTCTCGTTACATAATAAGGAAATGCAAGAGAAAC